TATCAACATTTAGCCTATTAAGCATGTCAAGTGGTATCCCTAGAGATCTAATATCCATGTACAGCCTTTATATACAATCAATGGGAATATATGAGTGTGAAGCTGAAACGTATTCCACAAACAATAAATTTGTTTAACATCTTTCAGCTTCAAAGTTGTCTACCTGGACACAAACTGGTGCCTTGAAGGAAGACTCGTTATTGACCAAGCAGCCAAATTGGCTGAAGCCTGGGAAAGCAAAAGGGCCAGAAGTTCCATTGGTACAAGCTTCCTGGTGGCTGAAGACCAACGCTTCCAAAGAATCTGGTCCTTCATCTGCTAAAACAACCTTGGCAAAGTCTTCTGCTGCTGCTATAGAAGTCTCCAGCACTTCGTCAAGATTTCTGCCAGCTCATAGTGAGTTCTGTATAGGCTACATACTTCATCTTTTTTTAACGACCCCATAACCCCTTGCGGGGTGGAGTCTGCACAAGTGAATGGAGCTAAAAGAGTATTTAATGGCCGGATGCCCTTCCTATCACCAATGTGGAGTTTTGTTCAGCAGATATATTCTCAGTTGTGCCCAGAGAGAGAAATATCTGCCTCTACCTAGGATTGAACTCACAGTCTCCTGATTGTGACGCGATAGCTCCACCTCTAGGCCAACTGCACCATTCTTATATAGGCTATGTAGTTTTGTGGTATGAATTTGATAATTTCAACCAATCGATCACAGTGTCAACTCATGAAATATGTCTATGGTTTTTTTAGAGTTGCCAACAGAAAGGGAGGGGGGAGCAGTGGACAACTTGCATTCCATGGATGTTTTCAAAGAAGTTTCTAGGTGACCGAAGTTTCTGCCACACAAAACTTCTAACTGGAGAGAATGATTGATGACTCTTGGCTATGAATGTGTCCCATTGGAGAATATGAATTATGATACACCCAGGGGGTGGGGATCAAGGTTGACAATGAATGATGTGTCTCAGGGTTGGCTACACCCAGGCAGCGCCGGAATTTTTACTCCTAATAAATCTTCTTTAAGTTTTGAAAATCTGGCTAGAGACTCATGTTTTAAATGGGGGTAACTGCCCGAGCCCTGACACATAGACTGCTCAAACCGTCCCTGACTTCATGCGGTATAATATTATCCCATTTATTTTAAGGGATTTTACTTGCTTAAGATAATGTTTATTCCAGTCTTCCATTTATTTAGAATACATTCAAAATGGCACATAAGTATATTATATGTGAAAGCCAATTTGGTGAAAGCATCAGCATAGAAATCAGAAGCCTCTGAGTTTTAGTCCTGCCCTGTTAGCCTCAGGAAGGAGGAAATGGCAAACCCCTCCTGAAAAACTTCACCAAGAAAATTGGAGGGACTTGTCTCCAAGAATCAGATACAGTTGAACAGAAGGCAAGAAATGTATCTCCAAACTGGATTGCAAGATCATCTCAAGTTTAGAGTTTGTGACTTGCAGCCAAGACCCAGCTAAGAGCAGGGGTTAAAAGTGGGTTTGGTTGTAAGTGTGGCTTACTGGCCAAAATGTGCCCAAACTAACAACAGTCTATACTTTATCTTAATAACAAAAATAATATGAGAATTAATGAATGTCACGATGGATGTCAGAGGTCAATATCTATGGGCCCCTCTGATGATGCCCATGGTTTGCAGAACATTTCAATTTGGAATGTCATAGGAGTATATGATAAAAATATGTATTGAACTGAAAGAAAAAGAAGAATTATCTTTCTGTGAGACTTAAAAAAAAGAAAAGAAGGGAGAGATATTGACTAGATGACCTACAAGGTTCCTTCCAACTCTTTAACCTGTTAATCTGTTAAATATAATAGATCTGAATCAAGGTGATATCATCCTATGGAGTTTAGTTAAAGAATATTGGCAAGGAAGTGAAGTTATATGTTTGATTGCAATAGGACCATGCATTCAAACCAATGAAATCTCTTCCTTCCCAAGAAAGTTATCAAACATAAAAGCACATCACATTTTACTCCAGGAGCTACAAACCTCTTTAAGTCGATCATAAATGTTCCATTAGAAGCTCTGTTGATGCATGCTCTTTTCTTTCTTTTTTTTTTTCTCCAGCCCAAAGGATACCTTTACAAGCTAAGACCATTGTTGTGAAAGAGGATGAAACAATCCCACAACGGCTCACAATATGGCAAAACTCTTCTACTCTGAAAAGTTTTCCAGATCCTTCTCCCCAGATCTCATCTTGGTTGCAGACAAATGCTTCAGTGGGATCTAACATTGCTCCTACCCAACCATCTTTGATCCAATCAGACTTTCTATCTATGACCCAGCCAGCACCAAGTGAGCATTCAAAGTCTGGAAATATTCAGTATTTCAGCTTTCTTGTTCATTGCCAAGTTACCAAGCTTTTTTTCCTCCTTTCCTTTCCTTTCCTTTCCTTTCCTTTCCTTTCCTTTCCTTTCCTTTCCTTTCCTTTCCTTTCCTTTCCTTTCCTTTCCTTTCCTTTCCTTTCCTTTTTGTATCTTTGAGTCATTGTTGACCCCTGGCAACTGGCTGGAAAAGTCCTTGAAATATTCTTAGCAGTATTTTTGGAAGTGGTTTGTCATTGCTTGCTTCCTAGTGTTAAGAGAAAAGGACTGGTCCAAAATGATCCAGCTGGCTTTTATGCCTAAGGCAAGACTAGAACTCACGGTCTCCTGGTGGTTGGCCCAAGGTCATCCAGCTAGCTGTCATGCCTAAGGCAAGACTAGAACTCACAGTCTCCTGGTGATCGGCCCAAGGTCATCCAACTGGCTTTCATGCCAAAGGCGAGACTAGAACTCACAGTCTCCTGGTGATCGGCTCAAAGTCACCCAGCTGGCTTCTGTTCTGACCAAGGCTTCCTGAGACTGTAATGAAGCACACACTTAGTTAAAACAAACCTTGTTTTATTTCAATGCTGGGAATTATTTTCATTCCCAGCCAGTAATGAGTCCCAAACAGTCCCTTCAGGATAAGATCCCACCTTTCTGTCCTTTCTCTCCTTTGAATTGCTGCCAACAGCTAGAGCACCAAATGAATTATAAAAAAACAACAAAGTACAAAGTCCACACAGAGCTTCAAGGATTAATCCAAACAGAACGAACAACTTTGCTTCCTGCAAAGGTTTCGTCACCTTTGCCTGTCCTTTATATCTTATGGGAGGGACAGTCACCTCCCAGCCTTACTCCCGAGTCACCCCTTTTGTTTCAGCTGCTCTTGCCTTCTAGCAGCTCTGCACACACGCACACTTGGGAACTGGCTTTCCTGGGTCCTCTGCCTTGCTGCCAACGGGGTCCGGAGGCAGCACCCCACTCCCAGATGGTCCTGGCCCCATCTCTGCATTGGACACAGGACCCTCGTCCGAGTCCTCTCCAGACTCCCTGACTGGTCCCCGTTCTCCCCCAATGTCCGATTCCACTGCTGTCTGCACAGTCTGCCAGCGAATCACAACAGCTTCGTGCCTAAGAGGAACTAGAACTCCCAGCCACCTGCTTTCTAGCCCAATGCCTTAACCACTACACCAAACTGGCATTCTTTCATTTGGTTTAATGTCATTCATTCACTTTCCTTCCCCTGCCAGTTTCTTTTTCCTGAGTATTCATATTTGCGATCCTCAGCTCTTAGGGAAACACACAATAAATGGGGCAATGCCACCTGCAGGGATAACCAAGTTTAGTTATTCGATGACACCTCTCAATTGAAATGACCCAACTTATGTAGATAAAACTGGAGGAATTTCATTCCTTGAAAAAGTTGGAGAGCAAATTCATCTCTTGATAGTATTTATTTTGACAGTAAGTGAAGCATGAAGTAATGAATCCTAGACTATGGAAATAAACTTTCCATTCAGCCAACCAATGTTATTTTTTTTTTAATAAAGCTTTTAAGCCTTTAAGAATATGC